TTGCCTTTATCTCGTATTCAGTTCTTTTTACAAAAATATATACTTCAAACTTTTATAGTCAGTATAGATTTTAAATGTTTGACCATACAGATAATGGTGTCATATCTTCAAGGTAAAGATTATGGCCGTCAACTCCAGGTTGCGAGTGGGATAGTTATGTTCATGGGGCTTCAATTATCTGGATCCATAAGCAACTACCCAACCGTGTTGCATCAAAACACAACCCAAACCCACGTGATATGCATCACAATAAACCTAAAATCTTCTAGTATTGTCGGGTAGGATCAACACTTGAGCAGTGAGACGATACTTCAACTCAGTAAAATTTTTATCACATTTTTATCCCAAATATAAGATACACCCTTCCTGGTGAGACGAGTCAACGGAGTTGCAATCTTGAAAAACCCATCGATGAATCACTAATAATAACCTGTCAAACCAAGAAAACTACATACTTCTACGACATTGGTTGGCGGGTTCCAGTTTATTAATGTTTCAACTTTGGATAGATCCATAAAAACTCTTTCGCCATAAATTACATGACCAAAGAATGAGACTCGATTCAACCAAAAAGAGCATTTGTTAAATTTAGCATACAGATGGTTCTGACAGAGGGAATACCCTAGACAAGTGAACTGCGTGTTCTTCATGACTCTTAGAATACACTAAGATGTTATCAATGAACACGATAATGTATTGATATAGTGTATACTGAAAAACCATGTTCATAAGATCCATAAAGACATCAAGGGCATTAGTTAATCCAAAAGGCATAACTTTGAACTCATACTAACCGTATCGGCATCAAAAGGTCGTTCCCCCGATCTGATATCGATCTTCGAAAAAACTGTAGCACCTTGTAATTAATTGAATAAATCATCAATACAAGGTAAATGATACTTATTTTTCATCGTTACACGATTAAGCTCTTTGTAATCTATGTACAATTGGAGGGAGTCGTCCTTCTTCTTTACGAATAACACCGAGGCATCCCAAGGGGAATGACTAGGGCAAATAAATTTTTGACCAAGAAGTTCAAAGAGCTGGTTTTTCAATTCTGCAAGTTCAGTACAACTCATGCAATAGGCAGGTTTTGAAATAGGTTGTGTTTCAAGAAGCAAATTAATATAACATTTTATCTCTCATAGTGGAGGTAGACCAGGTAGATCCTCCGAAAAGACATTCAAAAAGTTACAAACAGTAGGAATGGTATATACAGTAAGATCGACATCCATACTCATGTTTATTCGGAGGTTAAAGAATTGCAAAACCAATTTATAGATTTTTATTTCATTTTTGGTGACTGCAAAGTTATAATCTTATTTTCACAGTTTATGATTGCCCTATACTTCTCTAACCAATCCATCCCTAAAATAACATTGAACCGTGAAAAATTTAAAAGTATAAGGTCTACTAACAGTTCTACTCCTGAAACTTTTATTTTACAATTTTTATACATACAATGAGCTTCTAATAAACCTCTAGAGGGAGTTTCTACTGCTAACACTTTATTTAAATGTTCAGGTCATCTAACTTATAAGTAAATGAACAAGAGATAAAAGAGTAGGTAGCACATGTATCAATTAGAGCGCAGGCATAAATGTCATGAATATAAAGCATACCCTGAATAAGAGCAGGAATGAGGAGGGCACCGGGTTCATCAAGGTGGTAACACAACCCTAAACTACTGGTCTAGCTATGTCCTTTGGCCGCTGGGGATAGTTTTTCACGAAGTGCTGAATGCTTTCGCACTTATAGTAAGCGTTATTCAAACGCCAACATGGCTGATCACCATGCAAGCAATCACAATTTTGACATGGTTGGGTAGATCGAGCAGGGTGTTTAGTAGGTGGAGGCAGAGTAGCGGTAGGGGCAACTTGGGGTCGTTTATCAGGATGGCTACTAATTGGGCCAGACAATCTTTTTCTTAGTTGTTGTGATTAGTGTTGTTGTTGAAGTTGGTGTTATTGTTGGGTACAGACTTAGACAATGCGTTAATGTCAGGCCAAGATAAGATCTTCGGCCAACTGGACATATTTCAGTACCTCAACATACGAGTTGGGTCTTAACATCGCAACCAAATCGTAGATATCGGCACAAAGGCCCTTCAAAAACTTTATACCTTTGTGACTCTTAAGAGTGACCATCAGTAGGGCAAACCTAAACAGTTGGACAAATTGAACTGCATATTGAGCAACTGTGAAATTTTCCTCGCGGAGATCCTGACGTTCCTCCTTTTTCTTCTCTCGGGCATAGATTAGGAAGAAGTTTTTCAAAAATGCATCCATGAAAACCTCCCAAGTGGTTGGGTAGGTAAAACTTCCTTTTTTAAGCTGCCACCAATGTTTGACTTCACCTGTTAGAATATAGGCTGTTAGGAGAACCTTTTGTTTCTCGATTAGGTCTAAGACAAAGAAATGTTTCTTTATCTGCAGGATCCAAGTTTCGACTACTAAGGGGTCGGGGCCTCCTTAAAAGTGGAGTGGGTTAAGTTTCATAAATTTTGCTATGTTGTAAGAGACGAACCTTTCAGCTTGGCGATAGTCAAGGGCATGGGGGGTGTTGGCATTGGTTTACTTGGTTTTGGCCTACGGCTGTAGTAAGACCCCGAATGGCTCAAAAGAGCTCAGTAAACTCAGTCCTGATCGGATGATCTTAGGTCTCAGGTCTTTCGGTACACTCTATAGAAGGTCTTCCTCGCGTCATTCTTATAAAAGAAAAGGAAGACACGAATTAGTGGTCTAGTTTTTTAAAAAAGACATATCCTAAATATCTTAAAAGAGTTTCCTAATTATAGCCTCAGTTGTAAGGGATTATTCTTCATAACTGCTCTGATACCATTTATGACATCCTAAATGCTAATTAAAGCATAAGAGAAGACTATTGTTATTGGATTAATTTTTCGTTCACTGTAGGAAAGTTATTCCCTAAACTTGTACAGAAGAAACAAAAGGTACATAGGAATAACAAGTATGTACTCAATTAAAATTTTAATTTGTTGATTTGAGTGGGAAGTTCTGTTTTGTGTACATTATGATTTTGAATTTTACGTAGAAAATACATGCTACACACTTCTTAATTTTTGGTAATTAATTATGGTGGACAAATAGGTCAACTTGAGTGATACTTTCTTCTGAGACTAATCTAGTAGACAAAAGGCAATAAGTTAGGTAACATTGACTTAGCACCGTGCTTTTCTTTATTTTATTTTTTAATAAAGAGTAGTTAATTTTAATAAGCATATAGTGAACAAAAGCGAGTTATGTTAATCTTTAGTTAGGATTATTCTTTTGCATTTTATAGAGAAAGAACATATATACTCTATTGTATTAGAAATAACTAGTATTTGATTTATATATTATGACTTCTAGGTGTGCATATAATATCTCTATTTCACTCTTAAGTATGATGAAAAATAATATAGTGAGAACTAATGTGAGCAAGGAAAGGGAAAAGAAAATTCTTCTCCTTTAAAGAGAGAATCAACCAAGAAAAAAGAGAAGAGAGATTGTAGGTAGCTATCAATGGAACCTTCATGACCAACCTTAAATTACCATAAATCTTCCTTCTAAACCAATCATAATCTCTTCTAATAAAGAGAAAAGATCATATCAATCTTAGTTAGGAATTTTGATTTTTATTTTAATTAATTTCTTATGTAATTAAAATTTTAATTAATTTTCTAAATCACTCATAATCTCTTCTAATAAAGAGGGAATTCCATAACTATTCTAATTAAGAATTTAGACTTTAATTTTAATTAAGTTCATATATAATTGTAATTTTAAATTAGGAGATTTTTATTACCATTTTATTCACATGACATATTCTATAAATAAGTTCTCAAGTATTCATTTATATATAATTAAGTTTGAAAATAATAAAACTATGAAGTTTCAGTTTTCAACTAGTTAGATTTCTTTAGGTTGAATGGAAATTGATTCAACTTCTAAAGGTAAATCCTTATAGTGTTTTATCAATTTTTTTTCGAATTGATATCTAGTTTATCAAGTTCATACTTGTGACATTTTTAATCAATTCAAACTATTCTAATTATCTTAGTTGACATTCACGTGTTGAATATAGACCAAATATTGAGGATTTGTTGAGAGTTTTATGATTCTGAATACTAATGTTATATGAAAAGTTTCTAATCACGTTACTTGATCCTAAATTCCACATAAAAAACCTTACTAGATTTGGTCATGTAACGAGTGAATCATCCTTCAGCAACAAGAATAATGTAATCAGAATTTTGTAGAGTCTAGCTCAAGTATTATTTTGTTGATTTTATTTTGTAAAAACAACTTACTTCGGGATTAAGAAGGAATGATAATTTTTCTTTTCAACTTACTTCGGGATTAAGTTAAAACTAATGTTATGCATACACCATGTTCACCGTACCATAATCAGCTGGGCTAGAATGATTTACACCCTTCACCTTATAAGTAAAGAGGCTATGCACGAATAAAAAAGAAATGAAAGAGCACAAAGATAAATGGAAAGGTTATGTTCAAACTCTTACCTATTAACCCTGTAACTTACTGTTTACTTTCTATATTTCATGTTCTATTATATTCTGTTCAGACATCAGACAACACTAATCATATTTTTTGTTAATAAATTTGAATATTTGAAATATCTCTACATATTTTCGGAAGAAATAGATGTCAAACTTGTCCCAAAATTTCAAAACACGAGAAAACGACTTAGATCGAAGACAGAATCCTGAAAACAAAAAAATTAGGACCATTCATATTTTTCATCAAAAGTTCATCATTTTATCAGTGAAGAATATCATCCACATGCAAATCCAACAAACCTGTAAAAAATCAAGTACTGCAGGAGTACTCAATACGCATTTCACACCTAAATTCGTCTCAATCTATATGTATATGTTTTTTCTGATGAAGCATTACAATCTAGTCTTTAGACATCAGAAATTGCTCCCGACCTGATTTGTAGTACTGCTAGAATTCTTGAAAAATTGTAGAAGGGTAAACCATCAAACCCCTAAAAAAAGAAGGGCGGGGAGGGTGGTTGGGGAAGAAAAGCCATCAAACCCCTATAATTTGGTAGAATGAAAAGGCAAAATTTATGTATTTCTGATGTAATCTTACAACTCATCAGTACAGAATTCATACTGGGCCATTTATAGACTTGGACATGATTCAAAAAACAAATAGCGAATGCAAAAGATTACCTACTTTGAGAGGAAGGTATTCATTTACCTCTTACTGCTATTTCTGACTGAAACGCATTTCCATAACCAAGAGTGCATATTGAAGCATCCTGAGTAAGCCCTGCCCATGACAGCTCCAGCAACAAAAGTGCCAACATATGGAACCTCTCCGGATGCTGAATAACATTAAGATGAAAGCTGTCTGCAACCGTGTGCGTCTATCTATACATCATGGTTTTTAAAGAATCATGTCCCCTTCAAGTAGAGCATTACCTTGAAACAAAGAAGCTTTTTACATGGGTTGGGGGCGTGTTTGAACTATATGGATGTCTTTTCCAACCAAGCATCCTTCCACATCCTGTGGACAGCCAAACTTCCTTTCAAGGAAAAAGCCAACGGCACCAAGACGCTGGCCGAGTTGGTGACGGAACACAGGATCCAGAGTCAATGGTTTCTTACTGTAATCTACAATCAAGCGGATAACTAACCCATCAGCAGGACCTGCAACAGATACCAGCTGCTCCTCGCTAAAATTTGCAAATGCCAGGGTTCGTACATGCCCATTAAACTTGTCAGAAGAAAGACGCCATGGGGTGCCCCGCGTGCCAGAAGCCAAAGTTTCACCAAGGCCAGGGGCAATCTCAGACTCCACAGAGTTATTGTCATCGTCTGTTGGGCTGAGTGTGTGAAGAACAAAAGAGAGATTTGGCGAAAGCATTTCTTGCACCAGGACGGCCATTGAAGCTTCCTTTTGAGGCACGCCAGCAGATCTACGACTTAAAATAGCTCTTCGTGTGTACAGTGAAGCCCACACTCGGCTAACTGCTTTTGAGAAAACTGATGGATTCAATGGACTAACATTAGGAATAGATTCATACAGTCCAGCAGCTGACATTCCAGCCAAGTCCTCAACATTAGCACTTGAACGGACAATTAGGCGCACATTTCCTGGAAATATTCTCGCGATGTTATCAATGATTTCTTTTGGGGGCTTGAGTGAAGAGATCAGTTCCTCAAGTTGGCAGCATAAATTGTCAAGTTCGCCACTTTCCAGGCTAGCAATTTCAACCATTTCCAGTAAAGAAGTAAACCTTTCCATTGATTGGCTTTGCTCCAGAGCTAATTCCATGGAGCCGAAAGGTATTATTACCCCTGAGGGGACACAAAAGGAAGTTGGTACCCCATGTTCACTGTATACTGTCATTGCCACACAAAAAAGAAAAATCAGAATAAGAAATTTCACAAGTATCAAGTTTAAGTCAATACATAATTTTCTTGTTCTTAACCAAAGTGCTATACACTATGTTTGATGAAGTCATGTCCATCATGTTTTCGACATACATTTTAGAAGAAACAGCATCATGAGCTTGGTTCAACTGATTCAAGATTAGCCTTTTCGAAGTTAAACTATTGAAATTATATACTGAACTTCTGAAGAATTTGGGAAACAGTAAACAATTTTTTGTAGCACATCTGTGGCTGAACAAAGCTCATCTGAGCAGCATATAACAATTAAATAGGTATAACAGTCTTTTGGTCCAATTCTCATTCCTTGTTACTTAATTTCTTCACGTAATTACTAGAGTAATCTTGACAATAAAATTGTATTCCAATTTCTCTCTTATCTTGAATTCTTTGGTAGCAGATCTTCAATTAATAGTTGAAGAAGTGAGAATTGGAGATCCAACTCCGAAAATTTTAAGATACAGATGGAGGTGGTCCAAACATAAAAATTATAATGCAAGATATCATCACCAATTTAGTAGCTAGTGAATGATAAGTAAAAATAAAATGGAAAGCAAACCAAATGGGACCCAAGTATCTCACATGTCAAGGCATGTAAAGGATAGAGCTATACATTGGCTTCAGTTTTCCTAGAATATCCTGAGATGAAACAAATAACTTTTGTAAATGAGGATCGTATATTAATGACAATTCACCTTTGGAACTGTAATAATATCTCAACTTAGAGCTAAATTTGAACTCCCTGGTTTCTGATCTCACAGAAGGTCCCAAAAACAAGTGTCCATTATTATTTTCAAACTTAGAGGAACTGACATACATTTTGTTAAAAGTCCCCAGTCATCAGAAAAAAATCAAGTATATGAAATGTATGTTTTAGAATGCAAATTTTAGGAAAGAAAATATCATACCAATAATATAGTACAAATAGAGCTTGAACAAAATAAATAGAGAAAAAATATTAAGAAACAAAGTTGGAGGTCTCAAATATTAGTAATCAAACTAATAACTCAAGAAATACATAATAATTAGATGAAGTTTACTAGATAATTAAGTCAGGCTACCTATTTATAGGTACCAAAATGGTCAAAATAGGAATTCTCAACTTTATCCAAGAATTTTATTTAATAGAAAAATAAGATAATTAATTGAAATATCTTATAATAGAGAATAACTAATAAGATTATAATCATATAAGAAATCATAAACTTATACCTTAATAAGCTCATAGATATTAGTTCCTAATAAGCCAAATATCTTAATAATATATAAGCATTATAATTACATAAGTATATTTTATTATCAGAATATTTTCTTTTTAGGATCTTTTTCTGCATCTAACAATCTTCGAATTGATTTAGCTCAACTTGCTAAATCATCAAATTTTTGGAAAGCCAACCTTGATTTGCAATGTAAAATTTTATACAGTAACATTTTAAAGGCAAAGATACAAGAGAACTTTTTTTTTTGGGTTCAGAAGAATGTATTAAATCTCTTAATATGTACATCTAATTCACACAAATTTTCCGTGAAACCTCACTATTGGCAAATAAAATATAATCGGTGATGTGTCAATCCGTCCAAAGTTGATCTGCGTCCATTCATTCTATAAGAAAAGCATAAAATATGACATAGTGATATTCTCTTCAGGAAGCCAAGGTATTACCCTTACTAGAAACTGCTGCCAAAGATGCTAATCGACCACAAGCAGCAGCCTTGGCTCCACATGTAAGCACATCTGCATCATCAAGTAGTATGACCCCACCAGAGGGAGCACCCTGGATAAGAATAATTACGTCATTTTGGCAATCAATAGCAACTAAAACCATAAGACAGCATTTTGAAGTCCAAAAGTGAAGGATAAAAAAGAAATAAAACAGTACCTGATTGGACAGAGAAGTTTTCCCAACTGACAATGATGGATTATGTCGAGAGACATCAAGTTTTGATGAACTTTCAGCCGAAAGATTTTTCACACTTGCATTTCCATGGGTATTTTCTGATGGCTTTAGATCAACACCTGCTGAGGATGCTTGCAACCTGCAGAATTTACCATATTAAACAGAAAGCAAGACCATAAAAGTGGTCACTGATACATCTAGTCCTTACTGAGAGAGAAGTTTTAAAGAACAAATCTCACAAAAATATACAAGTATGTAATAATTCAAGCTGAGGAGATGTTCAGAAAAGATAACCTCACAAAATTTCCAGCAAGTCTTTGTATATTGGCAATTTCTTCATCATCTTCACATGTCACAAAGACAACTTTCTCCTGAAGAACATTATAGAAACCGTAACTTTCATTGTTATCTATGCTGCAAAATCATTTTCTAGAATTGTTGATACAAGAGAAAGAACTTACTTGCCGAGCCCTAACACCAAGGTGAGATAGGTGAGGCAGTTCCTGCAGAAGTACAACTCCAACTATATTACTCCCAGCAGCAGTTACCTGCCAAGTGTTAAACAGTGACAATTCATGTAATGTCTGCTGCCATTTTATCGAGGTCCATTTGCATAGAAGAGAGTATATAAGGAGTTACAAACCTCTTCATCTCCATCAGCTTTATTGACCACAAGAATAATAGGACCTTTTGCTGATGATGGCAGTGATCCAGGGACAATGCTCCCAACCTGAAAGTGAAACAGAAAACATCATACATATATGCTGCAGGTCATCTTTCAGAGAAAGGTGAGGATATTCCATTCCTTAAACATTAATTTCAGAGCTTCAAGTGAAATATAATTGTAAAAATGCATCTCTTCAGTAACCAGCGACTGTTATACACTTTAACTTGACAGAGTTAGAATACCTGAATTAATGTTCCAAAAGCAGCTCCTGGGACAAGTACATCCCAACCCTGTGATCCAAGGGTACTTCTAACAGCTTTTAGGAGAAGGGTACAGAGTTTTGATACCTGAAAAATCACCCTACAACAACAATTTTTAGTTACAATCTAGAGAACACCATTATTTACATAGACAAAAGTAATTGCACAACATAGCCTTCAAACAAATGATTAATAATAATGTCGCTGTACCTGGAACGAATCTCAGCCTCAGTGAAGGTCCTTACAGTATTCTCAGAAATGCCAAAAGCTTTTCCTAGAATCTGAAGAGAAACAGGCAGACAGTTTTCCATGTTATATCAGTCTCTCGGCTATAAATTTTACTTTTGCCACTCAGAAACAGAAGAGTGTGATAGAATCTTGAATTTACCACCTGAATGGTTCATCATTGGGAAGCACCTAATGCTGATATGAAGGACTATCCTACAGTAGATAAGAACTTCCAAGCACACAAAGGAAACAAATTAATCTACCTGCACTTTCTGAGGAAATATTTGAAGCAGTGCTTCAGTATATTCCTCAGTTAACCTTCTTGCTCTATCAAGTGTAGCTTTGAGCCTTAGTGCCCAAATAGTCTTTCCATCTTCAGTTCCTATTTAAAAATAAAAAAGAATGAGTTGAACCGTTGAGGCATTTGTAGTGAATACACTCAGATTAAAAAGAAGGCAAGAAAGAGAGAACAAAAAGAATTTTATGTGGCTTGGCAATGTTGCTGTAGGCCTCATCGCCAAGTATGATTCTTTCACAAGAGTTTGGATTTTGGAGAAAATCCAAAATTAGCAATAGCTCTATCCCATAATTAAAAAGCCCTAGGCACAAAAAGAGAAAAGGTTGTACATGAACTTTTTTTGTGAATAACAGCCACAACTAAATGACATTTCTCATTAGCTAATAATTAGGTGTGATAACGAATAACCTCGTATATCAAATGTTTCCATAATTACTACAATCAAATGAATGACAAGGTACCTTCCTTTTCAAAGAGACCTTTCTCTTTCCAGGCAAGGAGCTCATTTCCAATAGCAGAACATTCTTCTGGTCTCCAGCCAGACAATCCCAGTTGACGGACACCAACAATTAGAGCACCTAGGGGGTCATTCCAAGAGCTTACATTTTTTGGTTCCACATTTTTTGCAAGCCAAGGAGCCCCTCCCAAATTTTCAAGCACATTTAGGAATCTATTTAAATCAATGGCAGCAGATTAAAAAGTAAATCAGGTATATCAAATTTCTAAACAAAAAACTACAGAAGATAACAACTAGCATGTAAGGAACAGACAAAGCAAAATTCCTCGTCATTTTGGAGGGCATATTAGATTATTTTGTTAAAACATTAGTGACTCAAAATTGGCTTTTTTGCCCCAAATGAGCAAAATGCATGAATTAAGTTATAACCAGCTTCTACAATTAGTGGGGAGTTAAGAGGTAGGTTGCTGGTTGCTGAAGAGTGTATCTTCTCTAGTGTACATACATGCATGGACAACATAATTGCAACAAGCACGTGATAGAATGAAAGCGGCTAATAATCAGCAGCCTAGGTAATGCACCTTTTCCAATTTTTTGATGTTCAGTAATGGTACTCAATAAAGTACTTCTACATACTAAAATGAATTTCAAGTGGCTAATAATCAACAGAAGAGATAATGGACCTTTTATAATTTCTTGATGTTCAGTAATAGTACTTGAGAAAGTATTTATACATACTAAAAATGAAATTCATTGATTCTTCAAAAGAAAATTATGAAAAGGTATATCTGACATGAAAAACTGATTATTTATAGAAACAGTTCATTAGAATACTACTTTTAACGTGAAAAAAATTCACAGATTGAACCAAATGTGTGAAAAAGCAAAGGTGACAAATCTGTACCACAAATATAAAACAAAACAGAACTTTTCAAAAAGATATGTTTTAGACAACAGCCCTATATATTACCCAACATAAACCCCAAAATTTCATCCGCATTAATCCCCATTATTTTAATAGCTTTTAGCCTAGTCATCTTAGGTCCAGAGTTCTCACTAAAGATTATGTAAGAAGAGTTATATAGTAATATAAGAAATTAAACTAAGGTGTTGGGGGAGGTTATTGGGGATTGCCAACATGCTTTTGTTGAAGGAAGATAGATTCTTGATGCGGTGATGGCTGCAAATGAAATGGTTGATGATCTTTTTGTTAATAAAAGGGACGGCTTGGTGTGCAAGTTAGATATGGAGAAGGCTTATGACTATGTTAACTAGACTTTTGTTAATTATTTACTTGATAGAATAGGTTTTGGGTCAAAATGGAGGAAGTGGATGAAAACATGCATTACTACTACATCTTTTGTCATACTAATAAATGGGGGTCCTTCTAAATTTTCCAAGGCGACAAGAGGCTTAAGACAAGGGGATCCTCTCTCTTCTCTTCTTTTCATCTGTGTTATGGAATCTTTTAATGGCCTTTTGAGTAGGGCCAATAATCTACAGTTGTTGATTGGGTGTATCAGTGGGTATGGGTGAAAACAAAACAGATGTGACACATCTATTTTCTGCTGATGACACTCTTATATTCTGCAAACCATACTTAAAGAATCTTTTACATTTAAGATATATATTATTATATTTTCAAGTGGTTTATGGGCTCAAAATTAATCTCAACAAATCCGAAATGGCCATAATTGGTGGTAGTGGTGTTGCGGGGACTTATGCAGAAATATTTGGGTGCAGAAAAGTTAAATTCCCTTTTAAATACTCAGGGGTTACTTTGGGGGCAAAATATAAAGATCAAAGTATGCGAGAGCCAGTCATTGACACGTATGAAAGGAGACTTGCGGGGTGGAAAAGGGGTTTTTTGTCTAAAGGAAGGAGATTCACCTTAATTAAAAGCACGTTGGCGAATCTTCCAATATATTATTTATCTACAATTACTATCTTGGTGAAGGTGGCAAAAAATTGGAAAGCATCCAGTGTAGGTTTTGTGGGACGATGGTATTGACGATCGGAAATATCATTCGGTTAATTAGAATAACATTGAAGCTCCTCTTCAATATGGGGGATTGGGGATTCGGTCCTTGGTTAAATTGAATGAAACTCTTCAAGACAAATGGCTTTGGAAGTATTGGAGGAAGAAAATAAAACGTGGAGAAGGATTGTTGAAGCTAGGTGGGGTGAGCATATGACTACAAGAAGAGGTGACAGATTTTCTATCCCTCACGGACAGGTTTTGTGGAGGAAAATTCTGATGCAGTAGCATTTGTTTAATCAGTGCATAAAGTGAAAGGTTGGCAGAGGTAACAAGATAAATTTTTGGGAAGAAGATTGGGTTTGGGATGGCACCTTACTGAGAAGATTTCCCAAAATTTATAATATCACTTAATCCAAATATATGACTGTTTTGGAGTATATGACTGTTTTGGAGGCTTACATGGTAATTAACAGGAACACGGTACGGTCAATTAATACTAAGAGGAATTTGAATGATTGGGAGGTTGAAAAGTTTAAAGACTTGATGTCTACTCTTGAATATGTGCAGGTGTCTGATAGTGATCATCAGGTGGTATGGAATCCGGAAAAAAAATGGAATATTTTCAATCACTTCATATTATAAGTTCTTAAATGAGATGGGTGCTGAAAACAGAAGAATATTCCCTGCTAAGCTGATTTGGAAGACTAAAATTCCTCCACGCATTGCTTTTTTTGCATGGGAGGCATGCTGGGAAAAAATCCCTTACTTTGGACAGGTTGAAAAGTAAAGGCAAGATTATTGTAAATGGTTGCTACTGCTGTTTTAAGGCTGAGGAAACTTGCAATCATCTACTACTGTGGTGTCCTACTGTTTCTAACCTATGGTGCAGGATTTATGGGTGGTTAGGTATCAATTGGGTTATTTCGGGTTCGGTTGGGGGGGGTAGATTTGAGCTTGGGATGGTTTATATGTAAAAAGAAACATTGCTAACATCATCCCTTTGACTGTTTTTTAGTTCATTTGGAAAGAGCAGAATAGAAGAACTTTTGATAGCATTGAGGGTAGTTATAATAGATTAATTGATAGATAAATACACTTGTTTGAGTCAATTATGCTAGATTATGACATCATTAATGATGAGCATTTTGAGGATGTCATTGGCACTCTAACTTCATCGTAGAAGTTTTTGTACATTAGTGATACCCCCTTTTTTGGTACCTTATGAAAAATACTTTACACTTTATATTTCAAAAAAAGTAATACAAGAAATTAAAAGATAAAGTTTTCCTTCTTTCCTTAATCCATTAATCCATTGCACCCTTGATGGAACCAGAGCTATGCTTGAGAAAGAAACACAATAGGTACAAAAAGGAACATTAGGTAACTAACATCATGAAAAATGTAAATGGTTCTTCTTAAGCAAGAAGAAACTTGGAGAAGATATTCCTGAGTGAAAGAAAAGACTTAAAATGGTGAACAGTATCTTCTTGAGGTTATAATTAATGTGTCCAAAATGGTGAATAGCAAGTTCTTAAGGTTTTATGGCTTTAAACTTTAAATCAAAAAATATATACTTTACTATTATTTGAAGGACATGAAAATTTAACATCTTGACATGGTAACAAGTTGACAGAGGTCGCACATCAAGAAGTGTCAAACATTATGCTTTTGGAGTAAAATTGTACTAAATGCCTTCTATTTTCAGGTAAAATACAATGATAAATAATACCTCCTTTAGGTTTCACCATAAAGTAAAAAATATGTAATTTCTTATTATTTTTAAGGAGATGAAAATTAAATCTCTTGTCATGCGTATCCAAGGTAATGCTTTTATAGAAAATTTTGATCAAATGCCTTCTATTTTTTCATAAAATTCCAGGCACAAAATGGTTTCCCTGGTAAGCTGGAAATAAAGGGCAGCTCTCACCTGCTTAAGAGAACAAAGGAATAGTCCTCAAGGCCAATCTCACAAAGACGCCACTGCAAAATAAAAACCAGACTGATAAACTACCAAGATTAATAGTTCATTAACTTGAAAGAGCTTTATTCCTAAAAGTGCTCACCTTCTGACGCATGGCTATTGCAACATCTGAAGCATCATTCCTGAGGCCACTTTCAAGACCCTTTACCAACGTTTCTCTTAAAGCATTTAGGGACTGAACGGTCTTTATTAACTCCAAGGGATCGCTTGATTCCTCTAAAGCATCCAAATTCTGGAAAGACATTTTTTACTGATCATTTGAATCAGACATCAAAACCAATCACACTAAATATACAAGTTCGACTAAGTTTTTTTTAAAAAAAATAAAAAGAGATATCATTCCAAAGGTACTAAGGGTACAACAGTTACAGCTCAATCAAATGATCTAAAACTATCCCCAAATCCTCAAGATCCTGAATATTATATTCCAAAAATAAAGAACCGAAAGATAACCATCTATCCTTGATGGTATTAAAATCATTTTCTATCCTCTCAAAAGTTCTTAAATTTCTCTCTTTTTACACAACTCACATTAGAGATAATGAAATCAGCATTAAATATTTTTTTTCCTCACACAATCTAGCCCAAGCCCACAATTCATCCTTAACCGACCCCGCTATAACCCATTTGATTCCCAACATTGCATAAATAGAAGTCTATAGATCATAAACCAGCAGACACCACAATAATATATGGTTACAAGATTCATCATAACATTTGCACATATAACATCTATTCACCAAGCATCTCCCCCTCCTCATGAGCATACCTATTGTTAAAACACTTCCTCTGCACGCTTCCCATACAAAAAAAGTCAATCTTAGATGTGCTTTAGTCTTCCATACTTGCTTAAACGGAAACACGAAATCTGCATTCACCTTTCCACCCCGAAGGTGACAATATAGGGATTTCACAGAAAAAATCTCATATTTCTTCATCATCCAGTGTTTATAATCATCCCGAACCCCCACTTTTAATTCAGATAATAACAGATATAGTTGCTGAAAATCATCAGTGTCCCAATCATTCAAATTTCTCTTCACCTACGCATACAACCAGCTATGGTCTCCATTTTCCACATATGCCTTCCTTACCGTCATATTTCTGTTCTGAGCAATCTCGAAAATTCTTGGAAATCTGTCTTTAGTCTAACATTTCCAACCCAAATATCATCCCAAAACCTTATCATTAAACCATTTCCAACACACCATCTAGTGCATTCCTCAAAGGCTTTCCTAACTTTTAATATATTCTTCCATAAACTACAGCCATGGGGCTCTCCCATCCACACACCAACCATCTCTCCCACCCCTTGGACCCCATCTAGCCCCCACCACTTTACACCATAATCTGTCACCTTCCCTACAATTTCCCCATAACCATTTTCCTAACAAAGCATTATTCATTTGAACAATATATCTCAACCCCAATCCTCCACTTTCCATTGGGTTTTTTACCTCCTCCCATCTTACTAAATGATATTTCTTTTTATCTATCTCATCACCCCATAAAAATCTGCATTGTATTGTTTCCAGCTTTTTTGCAACCTTGGATGGAATAGCTAACACCGAAAGATAACAAATCAGTAAATTAGCTAAATTACTTTAATTAGTGTCAATCTTCCACCCTTTGACAGAAAATTCCTCTTCCAGCCCGCCAATCTCCTCTCAAACACCTCAACGACCGGATCTCAAGTTCTAGAGTCTTTGAATTTGGCACCCAAAGGAAGGCCAAGGTATTTCAAAGGCAAATCACCCACTCTACAACCCAGCACGTCCGCCAACTGTCTCTCCTCTCTCCTATCCCCAATTTTTACCAATTCCGACTTTACCATATTAATTTTTAATCCCGAAACCATTTGAAAGCACAGGAGTATACATCAAAGATAAAGCATGGT